GTACTAGAGTGATCACAACACTCTGGGTTCCATCACCAGCACTGAAAAAAAAGTCCATGGTAGTACTTTCAGGTCTTAATTCTATTCACACTTCATAGGATAAATCCAAGGAATTAAGTAGGTAGTTTTTCATTCAGACAGCAACTCTGCCCAGGCTATCTTATTTTGTATAGAAACTTCTTTAGCATTACCATTATACAACTTGTTTTAAAAATGTCTAGGCAGCACAGTGGTCATGCCTGTAATCCCAGTGGCTTGGGAGGCTGAAGCCGAGACTCTTAGGTTCAGAACCAGCCTCAGCAACTTAGCCCTAATCAACTTAGCAAGACCCTGTCTTAAAAAAGTGCTGGGGTTGTGGCTGAGAGGTTAAGCCTCTGGATTCAATCCTTGGTGACAAAACAAAACAAAAAAGTGTCTAGTTTATTTATTTTATTTCTACATTGTTTATTGTCTTAGTATTTGAAAGCTAAGATGAACTGTTTGGTTTTCTGGACAAGGTCTGAAACTTTGTAAAATGGTATAAGCACCAGGATATTGTAACTAAGAGCGCATGTGTGACTTAGGAATTGCCAAGTTCATTAATGTCTGACACAGAGGCTTTAAATCAGTTAAGTTTAATCACAGACATAATTTCTTTACTACTATAAATAAATAGTACAATATAGAATAGAGCATTGCAATAGAGCATTTACCCACCATCCACAAATTTGCTTTAAGAATATTCTGCATCAAGATTTCATATAAGTTGTAGTATAGGACATTCTGTTATGGGCTCTTTTTTCCTATTCAGAACCATTCTATTGATTGAGACTTGCCTTCCTGCAGTCAATTACCAGTTCTTTGAATTAAAAAACCACTCTTTTAAAAAATCCAGTATTTATAATGTATATAAATTCTTAATTTGTGCTTTGTGGGAAGGTTTTTTCCCTAAACATTAGATATAAAATATATTGCATGCAGCAACCTAAGTAAACATGCAGTCAGAAATAATGACCTTCCATTGAATCTTTCTGAAGTCTCTTATAATTTTCTTTTGGCTGTTGACTCTATTCTTAAATTACAAAAGTGTATTGGGTTTTTATTTTTAATTGATACCTTATGAATTAATATTACCATTTTGATTACAGCAAAAGCTATGATGGCATAAATTTACATAACTCTAAAAGATCCACCCAAAATCCTCAGCAAAAGAAAAAATCAAACATGAAAGAAAAATAAAGATTCAGCTCATGTGGTATCCTTACAAGTCAAAATAGAGAGCAACTAAAGGCTTATTTTCATTAAATGTTATCCTTATTCCAAATGACAACAACTAATGACTGCTAAATTGTGATGTTTTTGCTACATCTACCACATGCTCCTGAGTATTATCTTTGATATCAAAGTCTTATCCCAGGGGCAACTCTATTAAGTTTCTGAAAATAAACATATACTGCAAACAAAACAACAACACAATAACAAACGAAAGAATCACATTTGTTAGCTGGATGACTTCAGGGGAGAATGGCAGTCATGATGACAAATAATGTGTAAGAAATTAAGATACCAAGCAGACAAAGAAGGTATGAATTAATGTGCAAATCAGTGCCAATATCTAATCTGCAGTTTTGCTCATAGTGGATGCTGATAGTAATAGGACTGCAAATTATAACAAAAATAATTAAAACATCCATTTTTTTTCTTTAAAAATCAAGAACAAATGCATAGATTTCTACAACACTGTAAGCTTTGGGGCAGTGTCCTTTCTTCTCCCCCCTGGTTATATACTCTAGTACTTATGGCTGGGTCAGACTTGGGCTCAGTTCCATCGGATCAGGACATAATGTAATAAGGGTTGTCACCTCTCTTCCCATGGTTTATAACGGAAGTTCTGCCTAGGCCAGAAATGTAAGCTTTTCCAGCAGTCATGATACAGACAGGTAATGTTGGTCCAGAAGAACTGGGCAAACTCTGTACCGCAGAGAAATATTATATAAATGTGGGTATCCTTCATGCATCATTGAAGGTAATACATGTGTATGTACAGGAGAATCCACATATCATAAGTGTACAACTTGGTAAATTTTCACAAACTGAATAATACAGCAGTGTAATCAAAACCTAGCTAACATACCAGATGCTTCCCTTGTATACCTTCCACTTACTACCTACTACCCAGGGTGACGCCTCTTCTGACTTCTAATGAAATTAACGTGTTTTGCTAAATATTCTATATGTATAAGATAAATCATACAGTATATATGTTTATTTCTCTTTTGTTCAAAATTTTATAAGATTTGTTAACATACATTAGTTTGTTCATTTTCAATTCTACATAAAATTCCATCTAGCCTGTTGTTGGTGGAAATTCGGGTGTTTTTCAGTTTTGGGTTGTTATGAAATGATGCAATAAATATTCTCTTAATGTATTTTGATGTCAATGTGCATGAATTTTGAAGGACATCTCAAGATTTTTTACCCATAGTCAGTGAAGTCCAAAGTGTTCTTTGGCATTGTAGCCAAGATATTCACCTTACTCAATTGGGAGCTGTACAATTCACAATAGCTAAACTATGGAACCAATCTAGGTCCCCTTCAACAAATGAATGGATAAAGAAGTTGTGATACATATAATATGCACACACAGTGGAAAATTGTTCAGCCATTTGAGAAAAAATTATGGCATTTGCCAGTAAATGGATGGAACTGGAGAATTAACATGCAAAGTGAAATAAGCCAATCCCCCAAAACCAAGGCTGAATGTTTTCTCTGGTATGCGGATGCTAACTCACAATAAGGATAGGGAAGAATAGAAATACTTTGAATTAGACAAAGTGGAATGATGGGAAGGGAGGAGGAATGGGAATAGGAAAGATATAGAATGAATTGGACATTAATGTCCTATGTGCATATGTGATTACATGATCAATGTAATTCCACATCATGTACAACCAGAAAAATGAGAAGTTATATTCCAAATATGAATAATATGTCAAAATACATTCTATTGTCATGAATAACTAATGAGAACAAATTTTTAAAAATGGGAACTATAGTCACAGGCATTATCAAATCTTTCCTATTCTTACTGGACTTTGTTTATACTTAGGATTCCTAACATGTTATATTTAGATTATTCATGTACATTCCCGTCTGCTATTAGATTGTGAATACTTTTCAGTTTGTTTCACATGCTTATGTATCCCTGCTCCTGGCACAGTACCTGAAATATAGTAAGCCAGCCAAGTGAATGGTGATAGCCATCACTCTGCCAGTGATTAACAAGCAAGTCCTCATAGTTATGTGAATCATCTAGCTAGAATAAAATCCATGCTTTAGTCTGACATCTTAGTGTCAAAGGGTTAGGAATGGGAAGTTGCTGCTTTCTGAAAGAAACCCAGAACTTTGAACTCAGAACTGAGCATTCTGTGGTTACAGGGAATTGCTGTGGCTTTACAAGCCTCTTGGAAATTTAAAGTGTTAACATTGGTGATTCCAAGGCACTGTGTGGGAGCCAGATATAAATAGCTGAACACAAGTGGGGTAATATGCCACTGCCAAGCTACTGCTGGGGGTGTTTATAAAAAGAAAAGCATTCCCTTCTGAACTCTCACTGTCAACAACATCCCATTCTGAAGACACACTCATCACAGCTGAAAGCAGGGAGTCAGTTTCAGATCTAGAAACATTTGAATCTCCTTCAAAGGCACAAAATCCAGGTAAACATTTTGACTTTATTTACACTCAGATTATAGAGGTGAAGAATTACAAGGAAAAGTCTGATCTAGAGCTTGCTTGATACATACTGCCTTGTGACAGGTACCTACCTATCCAATGTTATATTCCAGATTTTTTTGAAAGGTAAGTTTAACACAGAAGTGACATTTTGTACTATATTTTAACATCTTTAATTAAAGAAACTGCTTCTGAAGAATGATGGGAACCTAAGGCCAAAATGAGCTATAAAAAGGAAGACTATCCCCCTTAATCTGTTATTTATTCCCATTTTCAGAATCTAGAATATGGTAATTGGTAAGATAAAATAGAGGTTTCATTTCAGTGCAGTAATGTTGATTCTAACTTCAAAGCCCACGTTCTGCAGCCTGCTGCCTCTGAGAATCCTCCAGATCTTTTTCTATCCACTAATATTTCTTCCCTTTTCTGGAAACACTTGATATAACATTGCCTGAGGCATCTGTGTGGAAATAAGAGAAGGTAAGATAGGTAAATGAATTTATTACAAGTAGGTTTTGTTTTTTTTTTTTGGTATGTGGAAGAAACCAAGACTGACCTGCTGTATCCTTTAATTAAATTGCTTAATGGCTCTAGGATGGCTTTAGCTCTTGAGGACCTCTCATCTTCCTGTTTACCCCTTTCAGTATCACAAATACTGGAATGAATATTGGGCATTCAGCCAGTAGAGTTATATAATCTTTTAGAATTGCTGCTTACCCAGTTCTTTCTTACTCTCTTCCCCGCCTTCAGAAAGTTGATGAGACACTTGTTTTTCCTTAGGCTTTTCTTATCATGAATATATGGAGAAGGCGATCACCTTTGATAATCTGCTTTGTACCACTACTTATCTTCTCTGTCTACCTTCTTTGAGGTAGAAGAAGAATGGAAGATGTGTATGAATGTGTTCTTGGAGAATTCTTAGAAACTGGGGCCTAAGGTACCCATTGGAGACTGTGGTATTTTAGTTTGTATTATTTCCTGTACATACTGAGATTTAGAGGGACAAGTTTGTCTATCAGCAACTATGGTAGGAGAGAGGACATGTTGGAGGGATAAAGAAACGGACAGATTTAAACTTGAGCACTGAAATTCTCTTGAGTTTTTATTTCCTCATCTCTAAAATGAAGGTGTTAGAAAAGTAGATGAAACTTAATGGTTCTTGCATTCATTAGGAATTTATTGATAACCACTTCCTGACCATCATGATATCCACTACTATCCAGGATGAAAATATAGTGTCATCCTGCTTTATTACCCTAAACTCCTGTAATTTCTTTTTAATTTAGAAGAGAAAAATGAAGACAGGACATTTTGAAATGGTCACCATGCTTCTGGCAGCCATGATTCTAATGGACGTCTTCCAGGTAATGTTGGGAATGGGAAGTATGGGGTCACTGGAATGGAAACACTTGATATAACATTGCCTGAGGCATCTGTATGGAAATAAGAGAAGGTAAGATAGGTAAATGAATTTATTACAAGTAGGGGGTTTTTTTGGTCATTTTGCCGATATGATTTATGTTAACTGTGGGAAGTTGAAAAAATTAAGCAAAAAGAGGAGAATAAAAATCATCCATTATCTCTCCACTCAGAGGCAAAGACTCTTTAAGGTCTTGGTACATATCATCCTTTGGCATTTCTGTGTGTATGAGTGTGTGTGTAATTTACAGAACATAGATTGACACTATACATAGTATTTTTTTTAACCTTGCTTTTAAGTTAATACTGCGATACATGTCTTTTCATGTCAAAAAATATTCTGAAAATATCATGTTTTTTTTTCCCAAAATAAGGTAATGCTATATTGTTTGTTTACATGTGTTTTTTATTGTTGTGTAGTTTATTATGAAAAGCTTCTTCTAGTGTGTACATATGAACCAAAAATATCAGTTTACCTTTTTCAATCATACCCCACTTCCAAAGACACATCAACAATATCAGTGTTCCTTCATGGCACCTAGAAAAACTTGTCTTTCTCCCAAGACAAATGGCTATTTGCAAGACTGCTAAGGTAAGAAAATCCATCTATATATATCTTGTATTTATATACTTTGAGGCAGGGCAATAAAGCCTTTTCAACACAGCAGTCTATTCATTTAAAGTCATTGACCAAATACTTTCTCCCATGGCTAAGAATCTCATTTGATCCCCATTTTACAGATGAGGATACTAAGATACCAAAATCAGAAAGCTAGGGCTAAGTAGTATCCAGGTCAGTGTTACTACACCAGTGGCACACATCAGAATTATTGGGAATTTTAAAATCTACACGGATGGGGCCATGTTCTGAGTCAGAAGGTCTAGAGTATAGTCCAGGCATTGCTTTAAAGAGGAACTCCGATGACTCAGTTGTGTGACCTCAATTGCAAAGGATGTCATGCTCCAGGATAGCACTGACAAGAAAGAGATTACATTATTCTTACTCCCAACCATTAACATTTACATGTAACCAGATACATATTTCACTTTTATTTATAATCAAAAGGCTACTACACTTTCAGCTGCCTAATTCCCACTTTAATACTTCATGCTGGATTCAGACAAATTAAGATAACACTTTTTATCCTCTATATATTACATGGTTTTTAAAATCAAATTATATAATTACTCTTTTTTCATATGAAGATTTTTTTCTCTGATAGAAATTGTATTTATTTGCAGTTAAATATTTAAGATTGTATAATATATTTTCATTTAAATATCAGACATATCTCATTTGATTCCCCCAGATGTCAGCCACCTACATCATCACTGTTTATACACTGATTTTGAATGCCTTCTTTAAAATGTCTTAAATTATTAAAATTCTATCTATTTTCTAGTTTAATATTTTGATACATTGTCTAGAGAATCATTGTATATTCTATTGTCTGCACATTCTCTTGTGTGTTTTTAAAATTGAGCTAGGTAGGTGTGGTGGCACAGGCCTGTTATTCCAAAGTCTTGGGAGGAGGCTAAGGCAAGAGGACCATGAATTCATGGCCAGTCTTGGCAACTTAGTAAGACCTCGTCTCAAAATGAAAAAATAAAAACAGTTGGGGATGTAGCTCTCTAGTCGTGGTAGAGTGCTCCTGGGGGGTTCAATCCCCAGTATAGCCAAAAAAAAAAAAGAGCAATAATTCACATACCTGAAAAATTCACCACTTAAAAGTGAACATTTCACTGATTTTTAGTATATTCACTATGTTGTGCAACCATCACTACCATTTAACTTCATAAATTTCACCCTAAAAAAACCTGTGAGTAGGCAGCTCTAATTCCTGCTTTCCCCCATTGCCTGGCAACCAGTACTCTACTTTGCATCTGTGGATTCACCTATTCTGGACATTAATCTTAAAAACAATGGTCTTTTGTGTCTTGTCTCTTTAACTTAACAATGTTTTCAAGGTCTATTCAGGTAGTAGCCCATATTAGTTCCTCATTCTTTTTGTTGCTGAATAATATATCTTTTGTATGGCTATAACACATTTTATTTATCCATTCATCAGTTGATGGAAATTTGAGTTGTTCCTGTTTTTCTTTTTGTTTTGTTTTGGTTTGGGTACCAGGATTGAACTCAGGGGTACTTGGCTACTAAGTCACATCCCCGGTCCTGTTTTGAATTTTGTTTAGAGACAGGATCTCACTGAGTTGCTTAGTGCCTCACCATTGCTGAGGCTGCCTTTGAACTTGGATTCTCCTCTCTCAGCCTCTCAAGCTGCTGGGGAGTTGCTCCTGTTTTACAGCTATTGTATTATGTTCATGTTCCCGTGAACATTTGTATACATGTTTTTGTGTGAACATAAGTTTTCCTTCTTTTCTCTTTAAACAATTATATAATCACAATCTTTTTTATATATATTTGGAGAATAATACAAACACTATGTGGTAGCATTACCTAGTAATGTTTACTTACATACATACAGGAAATATATATGTAAGTGGTATATCAGGGGCTACACTATTTGCTACATGCTAACAAAATTGTGAACATGTTTCAATTCTCTTTTGTATATACCCAGAGTGGAATTGCTGGATCACCTGAGCACCTCTGTGTTTAACTTTTTGAGGTACTACTAAGCCATTTTCCATAGTGACTATACCATATTCTAATCCTACCACAATGTATTATGATTCTGATTTTTCTGTGTCTTTGTGTTACTTGTTATTTTCCTTTTGTTTTTGTTTTATCAAGATAGCAGTGGGTGTGGTATCTTGTGGTTTTAGTTTGTACTTTTAAGTTTTCTCTTGCAACATAATTGTAATGCTTTTGTTAATGTTTTATTAATGTTCTGTAATTTGTTTAACCCTCTCTCTTCTTGAGCATTTATGTAAATCATTTCCATATATTTGTATTACATTTTTCAGTAATTGAATTTCATCAGTATGAGCTTTTGTTTCAATGGCTAAATCAGAAAAAAAATATATAATCACCTTGTTCACCTAGTCTTTTGTACCTGTTTCTTAGTATCCATTCAGTTGTCCCTGAGTACTAGTGGCATTTGTGAACTTTATCACTGCTCAAGGCACGCACTGTACAGAACACACAATCAGCTGTGGTGTCTAGCCAGAAAGGCTTAACATCTAAAATTAGACATGTGGAGACTGGTTAGAGGCAAAGGGAAAAGACAGGAACATATCGGATCAACTCTGATATGAGGTGAGGAATGTGGGAAGTAGTTTCAGAGTCTGATGTCTTATATTGAAGTCTTGCAGATAAATCAGGCATTGGTGCCCAAACTGCATTCTGGTACATTCTGTGCTGCAGAGGAAAGTGCATTTCTTGACTATGAGACAGCAGTGATTTGATCTCCTGAAGCTCAAATTCCCATGTCAAGACACTGACCTACAAACCCAGGAGTGTAGGGGTCTCAGTGATTTCTGCGGGAGGATACTCTGTGGCTAATAATCAAGACAGTTTCTTATTCTAGTTTAGTTACCTCATTTTAAAAATAATAATAACATATAATTAATATATCAATACATATTAATATACAAAATATTAATATTAATTAATAATCATCTGTCCCGACTTTCATAAGGGTTTTGATGAAAACAAAATTATAGTCTAAAAGTGCTACATAAATGTCAGTTGTCTTTATCATTTGAAACATTTTTAATCTTGAGAGGCAACAGAACATTTTGACTAAGAGGACAAGACTCTGGAGGAGGCTACTTGTATTCAAATCCCAATGTAAGTCTCAATCTCTCTGTATATTGGTTTCCTCAAAGTCTTTTTTAAAAAAGTTTCTAATGATTGTACCTTCCTCGAGGATTAAATGACATAGTTCATATGAAGCACTTAGTGCCTGGCATGTGGAAAGAACTCTGAAAATATTTGTTAGGCCTTAGAGATGATGTAGACACAGAGGGTGACTTAAGAAAGAGTTACCCAGGAAAGCCTCACAAATTAAGAACCAGGTTGTTATCAGTAGTAATTACAGTCAATTAATTTAAAAGTTTGGCTTTAGACATGTTCTTTGGATATTCAAGTAGAGGTATTAAGTAGTCAGTTGGTGTGTAAATCTGGCATTTACAAGACATGTCAGAGTATTTAGATGATAATTGAAACTATGAGAGTGTACATAATTGCTGAGAGGGTAGAATTGAGAATTAGAATAAAAATAGCCTAAGAAACCCCAACTTTTGGGCTGAGGTTGTGGTTCAGTGGTAGAGCACTTGCCTAGCATGTGTGAGGCACTGGGTTTGATCCTCAGCACCACATAAAAATAAAAAAAGGGGGCTGGGGATGTGGCTCAAGCGGTAGCGCGCCATGCCTGGCATGCGTGCGGCCCGGGTTCGATCCTCAGCACCACATACCAACAAAGATGTTGTGTCCGCCGAGAACTAAAAAATAAATATTAAAAATTCTCTCTCTCTCTCTCTCTCTCTCTCTCTCTCTCTCTCTCTCTCTCTGCCCCCCCTCTCACTCTCTCTTTAAAAAAATAAAAATTAAAAAAAAATAAAAAATAAAAAAAGGAATTGTGTCCATCTACAACTAAAAGATATTTTTTAAAAAATAAACCTCAACATTTAGTGACCAGGTAGAACAAAAAGAAATATCCCCTCAGAGCTGAATAGGTGGAGGAATGTTGGTTGGAAAAGTTGAGATGTAGATGGAAATGAACTAGAGATGGCAAGGATAGATATTTCTGTCAAGAAGTTTGATTATGAGGGAGAAAAGAGATAGTAGGATCAAGTTTTGGGTTAGACTTTTTTTAAAAAAATGTTTCTCTCTCTCTCTCTCTCTCTCACACACACACACACACTGTTATGATTTGTTCACATGAAGCTTCTAACTTAACAGCTCTTCACTATATTCCATTCTCTATAAAGTCTCCAACTGAAATCCTTAAGCAGATGTAGGTCGCCATGTACCATAAAACTGTGGAGTAGTAGAAAAAGAAACTGTAGAAACTCATAAATAGTATTCCTGGACAGACTTTCTCATCTTACTTTTGATCCATAAGTCAGTGTATAGGGTTCTTATTTAGTTCACTTGAATATTTAGCCAGGTTTTATACTGAGTGTTTGGGAATTAAAGATAAATTCAATACAGATTCTGCTCTTGAGAAACTTGCAGTGTAATGCATGATTCCTATCCTGAAATAATAATAATCAATAATTATAGTTAGTTGAAAGCTTGATATGTGAGCTAAGGGCTTTATCCTTTTTTAATGAAAAATTGAACTCAGAAATATCAAGTTACTTTCCCATATGTAGTTAGTACCTGGTTAGTAATGGAAATTAAATTTGAACTCAGAGCTGACTGGCTTTAAATTAATGTTATACCACCCTGCTTCTTACAGTATATGAGCATATGTGTCATTTAGATGATGCACTAGGCCTTTTCCAATGTATGCTACAGTAATATAGTTCAAAATAGCTCAAGAAATAAGAGACTTTATTAACTTTTATGACTGGTATAAAGCATGGTCTTCTGATTCAGCTAGATTAACGGCCTCAAATATGTTTTATGAGCCTTATCTTTCTCTTTCCCTCTCAGTTATTTAAGTCTTTATTACTTTACTTTCAGAAATGATTCTTTATTAAACTAAAAGGATAATTATTAGAAATTATTAGAAATCCCCAACCAATATTATCTTTAGGGCCTATGATTTTAGAGGAAGAAAGATCTTTTTCTTCCTTTGGGAATTTTCTGTTTGCTAGGCCTTGATCACTTGCTTATATTTTGGGCTGGAAGTGCAAAATCAGTACTGTCTATGCCATATGGACAAGAGACAGGGTATGCCCAAAGAAAAGGAGGTAATATTGCCGTTATATTTACCTATCATGTACAGTATTTTGCATATGATATTTTAGACTCTCTCAACAATCTTGTTTGAGGAAATGTAGCTAAGGATTTTGTTCCAAGCCAGGACTACCCCCTTCCCCCAAGTTCTTCAGTTTCCTCTGCATCACAGTATGCAGGTAAATGAGTTACAGGCTTAGTCCTGTTCTCAGCCATTTATATTTATTCTTTCATATAGCTCTCATCTATTTATATGTATTCTTTCACATAAATATGTCATAATTAAAGCCTAGCATAATGGCACACTCCTGTCATCTCAGCAATTAGGGAGCCTAAGGCAGGTTCAAAGCCAACCTGGACCATAGAGCAAGACTCCATTTCAAAATAATAAAAAGGAGTGGGGATTCAGTTTAGTAGTTGAGCACCCATGGGTTCAATCCCCAGGGAAAAAAGTCATAACTGGGAAAAAAACATCAATAGCAATGGAATATGCTTTATGCATAAAAATTATATCCACAGTTGGTTGTAAGTAAGGAGAGAATCTTATGGTATGAGAGGCCGGGTATAGTAATGTAAGACAAAGTGATAAATAAATATCTAAATATCTCATTTCAAGAGTATTAATTTCCTTTTCCTTTGAAGGTGAAGGCTGAAATGTTGGACATGGCTGATAATACATTTGATGATGAATACCTGAAATGTATTGACAGAATGGAAACGAAATATGTTCCCCAACTGCTCACAGAGGAAAAATCAACCCATCAGCTCTTACAGACTGTGTGGGAAAATGCAAAAGCCAAATGGGAAGCCCAGAAAGCTCAACTCTTTCTTCCTTTGAATTTTAAGGATAACCATGGAATAGCCCTGACAGCGTATGTTTCTGAATATCAACAGCAAACTCCTTTTTACCATCTCTTCAACGAAGCTGTGAAGATGGCCGGGAAATCTCGAAAAGCTTATATCTATGACTTCCAGTTCAAAGCTTTTCATTTTTACCTGACAAGAGCCCTGCAGTTGCTGAGAAGACCTTGTGAGGAAAGTTACAAAAATGTGGTGTATAGAATAAGCCAGGACACTTCATTTACATTTGGAGAGCTAAACCAAGCCAGGCTTAGCAATTTCACAATGGCATACTCAGCCAAACCTCAAACAGTTGATGAGCAACAAATTGTATTAACCATCCACACATGCTTTGGAATTGCTGTTGAAAAGTTTTTTGATAAAGAAAATGAAAAAATTACTTTAATACCTCTGAGTGAGGTTTTCCAGGTTTCACGGGAAGGGGATAGCAATAATCTTATCCTTCAAAGCACAAACAAGACCTGCAGCCATTATGAGTGTGCGTTTCTAGGTGGTAAGTGTCTCTCTTAACTCTGCTTGTCTGGGAGGAATTGAATGGGATTCTTAGGCCCAGGAGAGAAGTGTTAGAAAGGAGAAATGACATTGGCAGTTTCCAGTCTAGCTTGTTTTGTACTGTTTCTTTATCCATAGTTTAATTTTATCAAAATAATACATTTACAGTATTATTAAAAGTTAAAAAACAGAATAGTATAATAAGAGTAGTTAACAGCCAGAGCAGCTCTGATCTGCAGGGTCATTTAACAGTGGTCAGAATATTTTTGATTGTCACAACTGAGGAAGACGTGAGGAACTAATACTGGCACCTGACGGATAGAGGTCAGGGACTCTGACCCACAACAGAGAATTAACTGACCTAAAATATAGGGTAGTGCTATTGTCAAGAACCCCTGGTGGACCATTAAACCTACTTTACAATGAAAAATAGCAATCCCCGCCCTACCTATCCACTTACTCCTCAGTGGCATTTATTTTTAATTATTATAGCTATTTTTTCAGGTACTTATTGTCATGTATCTAAAGAAATAACGTGCTTCAACATGTTATTTCTTCATTTAAAAAATTTTAGACACTGTCTATTAAATTCCTGCTAAAAAGCATGAGCACTTAGCCCTCATGTACAATGTTTTAGTTAAGAATTCTTTATTGCTTTTAGCTCCAACAGAAAACCTGGCTGATAATATTTGTTTAATAAGTCTCAAGGCAGCCTGTCTAGTGCAGTGGCTCATCTGCATCATCAGTTACTCAGGACCTTTCTGTCTGTTCACCATCCTTGGTGAATGGATTCCTGTTTGCAGTGTAACTGTTGCAGCTGTATGCATTGATCTATGTCCAAGACAGAAAGGGAAGGGGGTTAACAGCCAAATCGACCTATTTAATTAGGAAAGTAAAAACTTTTCCAGAAACCTTAGTAGATTTCTGATTACAGATGATTTACTAGAACTATTTTTTCAATCATAGCTGGAAGACATGCTTGGAAATGGAAAAATTAGCTTTACTGGCTTCTGTAGTGTAGGGAGACAAAAAAGAAGGGAATTAGAAATGGCTGTTATGTCACTAAACCCAAAGCATTTGATAACTACCACCCTCCTCTCCACCATGTGTGCATTTTGCCATTCTTGTTCTCCCCGTGTAGCAAAGACCAGTCGTAGCTGAATCAGAGTTGTTTGTTCAGTGCTTAAGGGTTATTTTATGATTTTTGTTTGTTTAGGGTTTTTTCCCACTTGTTGAGTTTTTTTAATATCTCATCACTAATTCATCTCCAAATTATTTGACAGAAATAGAAATCTCTTAATACAGTCAGATAATCTGTCATTTTTATTCTTCCTCCTCTTCATGCTTATCTTCCTCCTCCTTGCCCTCCTCTTCCTCCTCCTCCTTGTTCTTCTGTTTCTTGTCCTCCCCTTCTTCTCTTCCTTCTTCTCCTCTGCCTTCTCCTCCCCTTCTCTTCCTCTTTGTCCTCCTCCTCCTTTCCCCATTTTCTACTTTTCCTTCTCTTCTTCCTCTTCCTTCTCTTTTTTTCCACCTCCTTCCCTTCTCTCTCCTCCTCTTCCTACTCCTCTTCTTCCTCTTCTCTTCTTCCTGCATTTCCCCAACATCCTGCTCTATAATATGCTCTTTAGGTTTGCTGAATGTCCTGGAACCTTTCCTACGAGAGACTCCTTATTTCTTGCATTTGCAGCTCTTCCTTGATTCACTCCTTTGTTTAGTGGTGTGGGACTGGGGATTCTCCAGTTTTCTAATAAATTATACACTGAGGCAAATTTTCTAAGACTGTGATCTGAAAGATCTACTTTTTTGCTTGAGTAGTAGTTTTTGTAAATTTATATTTCTGTTTTAGAGATTATTTTCCTTGGAAACTTGAAGATGTTCCTCCAATGACATCTAAATCTGTAACTTCTGTAAAAAAAAGTTGAAAGCTACTCTACTAAAACTTTGGATGAGTCTGTTTTTTTTTAAATATCTTTATCTATTTATTTTTATGTGGTGCTGAGGATCAAACCTAGTGCCTCACACACTGAGCTATAGCCCTAGCCCCTGTTTTGATTTTTTTGTGGTGCTGAATACAAACAAAGCATCATATATACTAATCAAACACTCTCTTACTGGGCTATAAAACCCCTTCCTGAAACCTATTTTTTAATCTGAAAGGTTTAATGTGTTTTCTTTATTCCTAAAATTCTGAAACTTTATGGTATTGTGCATTGATGTATATGATTAAAGGGTCAATGAAAACCCTTTCTTTTGTGAAATTGGCCTCCTGTTGATCTTCTCGCACAACAGGTAGAATCACAACCTATGGGAAATAAATTTCTAACTTGACAAAGTTCATGTGAGCTGGGAGGATTGTGAATGAACTATAAATACCCGCAGGAGGCCACTGTTTGGGGCCTTCCTGAATGTAGTGCAGCACACCCACGTGTTCTCCTTGTTGAATGCCAGAAGGCAAACAGGACCTGTATCAATCCTGTACAAGATTGGCAGGTTCAAGGATACTGTCTTCTTATGTGGTATGAGATTACTAAACTACAGAGGTTCCTGCACCTCCCTGTGTAATCTTTCCTTGTGACTAACTGTAATCTTGGGGGATTAAAGAATATTCCTGGACTATGAAGACTTGCACTGAAGGGCCATACTTAATGCTCACCTGCTGCTAAATAGCATATGTTCCTTGCCTTGCATTTCTTTTTCTCTGCAAAACTTAGTAAACTGATGAGGATTAGGCCTTTTGGGGTCTTGTAAGTGTGACTCTCTAGCTGAACCAAAAACTATTGCTGCTGTGTCAAGCATTATGATTAAATACTACATAGGTCTTAGAAGTGGGTTAGACCTTTAGATCTTGCCTCATTGTGCCCAAGGTACTGTAAATTTAAAAAGCTGAGTAGGGTGAGACATGCCTGAGTTAGGAGCTGATAGAATTGGATGGCAGAAGGTTTGTGGCTCTTGAGGTACCAAGGTTGCAAATTGAAGGAAGTTTTCACTTTTAGGGCCATATACTTAAACTACTTGCACTTGCATGATTCTGAAAGGGAGTGTCTCCTTAAATTTTATACTCTATGCCCCTCATTTGTCTTATTCTATTCCTGTATTTGAGTTGCATCTGAATAAGACTATTTTTCTTGAGGGGATAGATGAAGGATACCGTGAGTAAATTTGTGTTGAAAGAAAATGTTCATTCTCATCAACAACTATACATTGGACCTGACCAAAAACCAAGCTAACTATAATCAACTGAGAATTAATCAAAGCAAATTAAAGGCATATATCTTTTTCCCAGTTCCTCTTATGTCACAGGAGTTTAAAATTGACCATGGTTTGGTTATATATTTCTACCCCCTTTATCCATGGGAGATATGTTTCAAGGCCCCCAGAGAATGCCTGAAACTGCAGAAAATAACAAACCCTATATTTTCCTATACATATATACTTGTGATGAAGTTTCATTTATAAATTATGCACAGCAAGAGAGCAACAGTAACAACTAATAAAATAGAATAATTATAACAGTATACTGTATAGAAGCTATGAATGCTGTCTCTTTTTTGAAAGAATTAAGGCAGATTTTTCTGCAGTTGGCCACTGATAACTGAAAGTGAAATCACTGAGAAGTAGAAACTGCTTTACAATGAAAATTAACAAGTCACAAATATACATATAGCAATTGTGTCTATTTTATTCTGCTGTCCTTCCTATCTCCCCTTTCCCTCCCCTCCCCTCACTTCTCTCTACCAAATCTAATGTGACACACTTCTTTTTTCCCCCTCACATCATCATACATGTAATCTGTATAACAATGAGGATTTTCTCCATCTTCCATGCAATTCCCCTTCTCCCCTTTCCCTCCCACCTCTCTTCCCTATCTAGAGGTAATTTTCTTCTCATGCTCTTCCTCCCTACCCCACTTGAATCATTTGGCATTTTTGGGGGGGATTGGCTAACTTCATTTAGCATAATCTGCTCTAATGCCATCTATTTCCCTGCAAATGCCATGATCTTGTTATTTTTTAGTGCTGAGTAATATTCCATTGTATATAAATGCCACATTTTTTTTTATCCATTCATCCATTGAAGGACATCTAGATTAGCTCCACAATCTAGCTATTGGGAATTGTGCTGCTATAAACATTGATGTGGCTGTGTCCCTGTAGTATGCAGTCCCGAGAAGAGGAATAGCTGGGTCAAATGGTGGTTCCATTCCCAGTTTTCCAAGGAATCTCCATACTGCTTTCCAAATTGGCTGCACCAATTTGCAGTCCCACCAGCAATGTATGAGTGTACCTTTTTCCCTGCATCCTTGCCAGCACTTGTTGTTGTTTGACTTCATAATGGCTGCCATTCTTACTGGAGTGAGATGGTTATCTTAGAGTAGTTTTAATTTGCATTTCTCTGATTGCTAGATTCAAATGTATGATATGTCAAGATCACAGTACTGACATGTGTAACTAATTAAAACAAATAATAATTTTTTAAAACACAGTTTTAATAAAACTCTAAAACTCTAAAAAAAAAAAAAAGGAAAAAAAAAAGGAAAATTAAGGAGTACTACACCACCAAGTGTGTTAAACTTTACCAGTGTATCACAGCCAGAAACATAGTTGAAGTACTTTTGGTGTTCTTTTTAAATTTGTTCTAATTAGTTATACATGACAGTAGAATGCATTTTGACACATTGTACACAAATGAAGTACTTCTACTTTTGGTGTTATCATGCACTTAGACAAATGTTAATTATGGGTCCCTGGCTACAAGCCAGATTTTGTACTAATCCCTAGTTGTTGGGTTATGTTGGGCAATGACTCCATGTTTGTGATGGGAATTGTGATATAGTAAAAGAGGTAGAGCTAACTGGTTTGATTCTGAATGAGCCAGGGCTTAAGACCTACATGGAAAAATGCATTATGAGTCCTATGTGAAGATGTGGGGAGGGGAACAAGGATTAGGCAGAAGATGCACAGCAAATTAATATTCAGACTAGCCACAAAAGGAGGCCTTTGT